ATATCTTTACATGTATTTGTATATATGTATATATGCACACATATTTTGTATGGACTTTGTGAGAAACTGTGGTTGTTAAAAGCATCTTGTTTTTGTTTCTAATTTCTTAGCTATGTTCTAAGTCAGATATGAGTGCTGGTTAGGTGAAGTGTCACCATAACATAACAAGTGGCTTTTTGTGTGTGAAAACTATTTCACTGCTTTAGATCCTAAAAACTATTTGATTTCCTCCCAGTGAAATGAAAAAGTGTTTGCCCGAGGAGGTTCATTATAAGAAATGTGTTTAATCACAATAATTGTAGCATCAATTCATAATATATTTGGGGGCTAGGTATGTATACATTTGTGCAGATGGTAAAGTCTCCTTTCATATTAACCAGTAAGAGTAATCATCAATTGGAACTTACTCAAACATTATACTATTTTATGTGCTGTTCTTCAGAAATTTATTATACATACATTCATTATACATATGTACGCACATGTAAAGCTCCAGATATCTGTGTTAATTTGCATGTTAATTTGATTTTCAGATTGTTGCATGCAGTGTCATTGCTGATTAATCAGTCACTAACCATATAGGTCAAGGGTCAGCAAACTTTCTCTGTAAAGGACCAGGTAGTAAATATTTTAGGTGTTGTAGGCCATACAGTCTTTATCTCAACTATTCATTTCCGCTGCTGTAGATTGAAAGCAGTCATAGATGACATGTAAATGAATGAGTGTAGTTATATCCAACAACGCTTTATTACAAAATTATGCAGTTGTTCAGATTTGGCCCAAGGGCACAGTTTGCCAAACCCTGGTATTGATATTCAGTGCTTTCTTCTAGCCACAGGTGATAGGAAAACCACACTTTCTGCTCTTCAGCAATTCATTCTTCAGGGGGAAGGAGACAAGTAAACAACCAGCCCATATTCTGTGTTAATGTAAATAGTAGTTTTGGTTAGAGGTGTCTCAGAATTACCTCGGGAACTTTTAAAAAATCCCAGTAAGGTATAAGATGTTAGTATTTCTTTTTAAATAGTTCCCCAGGTTATTTTCATGAGCACTTTTCACTGTGAGCCGTTGCTGTTGATTTGCTTTATGTTACTCTGGGAGTATAGAAGTTGTCATCTTACCAAGTATTTTGTGGAGAACATTTTTCAGCAAGAAGGCATTGTGATGGGAGCTGAGTGAGTCTTAAAGTTTGGTAGGGTTAGGGTTGCCAGATAAAACATAGTGTTTTTATTGCTTATTCTGGCATTCCTAGTAGGGTGAATTAGATTAATACAGTGTTAAATACTGCAGAGAAGTGAACAAGACTAAGAGCAGAGAGAATTCTGTGAGGATTATCTGTTAAGGGTCTAGATAGTGGTGTTATTTAAAACCTGCAGTGTCTGTAAATTGGAGGGGGTCATATGCCACACTGAAGTGTTGTTACGAAGTGCTAAGAAAACAGTGTTATCATTAAGGGCTGTATTGGTTTCCTAGGCCTACCATAACAAAGTACCACAACCTAGATGGCTTAAAACAACAGAAATTAACTTAAAATATTTACAATGATGGTCTCTCTCACAAGGTTCTGGAAACTGTAAGTCTGAAATCAAGATGTTGGCAGGGCCATGCTCTCTTTGAAGACTCTAGGGGAGAATCTCTCCCATGCCTCTCTCTTAGCTCCTAGTGGTTACCAGCAATCTTTAGCTTCCCTGGCTTGTACGTGCATCATTCCAGTCCCTGCCTCCTTTGTCACATGACATTCTGCTTCTGTCTGTTTTCTCTTCTTGTAAAGGCACCAGTCATAGTGGATTAAGGGCCTACCCTAATAATTTCATATTCACTTAATTATCTTGGCAAAGACCCTATTTCCAAATAGGGTCACATTCACATGTACTTGGGATTAGGACTTCAGCATATTTTGGGGGTCAACGCATAATAAAAATTTACTGTCAAAGATCGCCTTTGGGTGTGGAGAG